AGAAAGAAAGAAAGAAAGAAAGAAAGAAAGAAAGAAAGAAAGAAAGAAAGAAAGAAAGAAAAAGAAATGTGGTTGTCATCCTAACACCTTTTAACCAGCACCCTTTCCTCTAAGCCAACTGTCTTGTATCTTATCCCTTCTTTCATAGAATCTAAACTTTTCTGAATCTTATTGGGAATATAAAGTAGATGCTAACTAGAATTGGTTTATTTTTTATTTTTGTTTTTATTGAGACAGAGTCTCACTCTGTCGCCCAGGCTGGAGTGCAATGGCACAATCTTGGCTCACCGTAACCTCTGCTCCTGGGTTCAAATGATTCTCTTGCCTCAGCCTCCTGAGTAACTGGGATTACAAACACCTGCCACCAGGCTCGGCTAATTTTTGTGTTTTTAGTAGAGATGGGGTTTCACCATATTGGTCAGCCTGGTCTCGAACTCCTGACCTGTGATCTGCCCACCTCGACCTCCCAAAGTGCTGGGAATACAGGTGTGAGCCACTGCGCCCAGTCTAGAATTGGTTTATTTTTCCTAAAATAAATAGTCTTTCAAAACACAGACTATTCATTTGGTTTTTTTTTAAGAAAGCTTTAGAAGACCCCTATCTTATTTAGGAATACTGGCTTATTCTTCTTTTGACATTTTATGCAGCAAAGTGATGAGCTGGTTACCTTCTTAGTCAGAGGCTCATTTACGAGCACACTCTGAGACGCTCTAAAGCCCACTTGACTGTAACCTGGCTTAGTGGTCGCTGGGTTAGCAGCTGACTGTAACCTGGCTTAGTGGCCCCTGGGTTAGCACCTGACTGTAACCTGGCTTAGTGGCCCCTGGGTTAGCAGCTGCCTGGCTGTAGTGGCGCCGACAGTGGGGCTCAGTGACCTCTGAGTCAATCTGATCTTGATGCCAGGGGCTTTTTTATGTCTATGGCTGAGTGGTTTTCACATTCCTTTGAGGGTACTAAGTTCTTACAGTCTAATCACGAGGCACCAAAACTCCCCCTTAGTTATTTAAAATATAGCATTTCCTCAAGGGTTGGTAAAAAGTCTTTACTAAAGATGATATCCAGCCTGGGCAACACAGTGAGATCTCATCTCTACAAAAGAAAAAATAATTAGCTGGGTGTGGTGGCGTGCACCTGTAGTCCCTGCTACTTGGGAGGCTGAGGCCAGAGGATCACTTGAGCTCACGAGGTTGAGGCTCCAGTGAACCATGATTGTGCCACTGCCCTCCAGCCTAAGCAACAGAGTGAGACTCTGTCTCAAAAACACCCCAAAATCAAACAAAGATAATATTTTCCTAGTGAGTTTATATAAAGGTAACCACAGGCAAATGGCTCAGTGCTGGTGGTTGTAGGGTAGTAAACTTGGGGGTACATTTCTCTATTGGTAAATATTTGGATACTACAAGTTTGATGTATGTCTGATCAATGTATTAAACTAACTGATCTCAAAAGTGTGTAGTCAGGAACAAACTTTTTTTTTTAATCTGTCATTGTCACAGTTATATTATATCAGAACTATATAATGTTGCCAATCTTCAGGGTTTTAAAAAAGACAGCTCCCTTGTCATGTTATAATGAAATTCAGCAACTCTATTTTTGTTTTCTAATTTGCCAGTTAAAAAGGGAAGTTTACCTGAGTCAGAAGATCCATCTCTCCCAGCAAAGTGCTGAACATTTGGTCTATGTCTTCACTTGACTCACCCATCTGAAAAAGGAAGAAGCTGAGATATTAGCAGTCTCATAAAAGCCTGATCCTAGGATACTCTTTGCATCCCTCTCTTTCCCCTAAGAGCCCCATCTGTGGGCAGCTAAGTTGGGAGAGGACTATACTGAGAGGAAGGCTCATGTTAGCCTGAAATTTCATGCCTGGCTTCTATCCAATCCGCTTGATCTAAGATTGTGCCAAACCTTGGGGAACGCCTCAGAGCCACAGTTGTAATTTTCCAGGCTAAACTAGTCTTCTTGGGGCCAAAGAAACAGGCTGGGCACGGTGCCTCATGCCTGTAATCCCAGCACTAGGGGAGGCCAAGACAGGCGGATCAC